GTTTTTTTGATCCGAATAGAGATGTTTCCCCATAGTGAAGGTTAATCCGGAACGGATTAACCTCGCTATGCGGGGCACCACTGTATTAAAACTCATGTGTTCTGGTTCTAGACATATTTCTCTTAAAATCAATCCAACAATTTCAAGTAACTCCCTTCTTCAAAAAAAATCCAGAGAAGCATAAAATGTTGAAAAGCCCAGTTTAGCACCAATTATATCACCAATGGGAAAAAGTGACCCACTCTGAAAATTTGGCTGTGACCACAAACCTGAATTTGTGCCACTTTTTGTTGCTGTTGTTTAGTTGTTAAGTCATGTCCAACTCTTTGTGACCCCATGGACCAGAGCATGCCAGGCCTCCTGTCTTCCACTGCCTCAAAGAGTTGGGTCAAATTCATGTTGGTAGCTTCGATGGCACTGTCCAACCATCTTGTCCTCTGTCCTCCCTTTCTCCTCTTGCCTTAACATTTTCTCAACATCAAGGTCTTTTCCAGGGAGTCTTCTCTTCTCATGAGATGACCAAAGTATTGGAGCCTCAGCTTCAGGATCTCTCCTTCCAGTGAGCACTCAGGCTTGATTTCCTTCAGAATGGATAGGTTTGTTCTCCTTGCAGTCCAGGGGACTCTCAAGAGTCTCCTCCAGCATCACAAAAGCATCAATTCTTCAGTGTCAGCCCTCTTTATGGTCCAGCTCTCACTTCCATACATCACTACAGGAAAAACCATAACTTTGACTGTGCGGACCTTTGTCAGCAAGGTGATGTCTCTGCTTATTAAGATGTTGTCTAGGTTTGTCATCGCTTTCCTACCAAGGAGGAGGTGTCTTTTAATTTCGTGGCTGCTGTCACCATCTGCAGTGATCATGGAGCCCAAGAAAATAAAATCTGTCACTGCCTCCCTATCTTCCCCTTCTATTTGCCAGGAGGTGATGGGACCAGTGGCCATGATCTTAGAGGTTTTTTAATGTTGAGCTTCAGACCATTTTTGGCGCTCTCCTCTTTCCCCCTCACTTTGGAGGTTCTTTAATTCCTCCTCACTTTCTGCCATCAGAGTTGTATCATCTGCATATCTGAAGTTGTTGATATTTCTTCCAGCAATCTTAATTCCAGTTTGGGATTCATCCAGTCCTGCCTTTCGCATGATGTATTCTGCCACTTTAGCATTAATGAAAAGGAACATATTCTTAAAAGTAACACAATCTGTATTGAATGTGTAGAATAGATGATACACTTAAACATATTTACTGTACTTGGAAATGTGTTTGAGTGAAGTCAGACTCATAACAAAATATATTATCTAGCTGTTCATATGCGGTTTTGCTCTCACTGTTCATAACACTATTCCATCCATTTAACATACTAAAAACAGCCTGTAGTACAAATATTTTCACAAAATTTCTGAAGACAGACCATTGTGTCCAGCCACTTCTTAGATGGTAGCAGACTAAAATGCTTTCCCTTTTATTTCGCAATGTCTTCGCTTTTTTAGAAGTGTCTAACAACAACATTAACCAAAAACATTTTGGAATTCTAGTATGTAAGAGTGTTTGATACTCTCAGCATTTTCAACAGATTTATGATTTGGTTTAGTTTATCATTCCCAAACCTGCTGTGCAATATCATGCCTGTGTTGCCAGTGGGAAAAAGGATGTTGAGCTTTACATAGCAAAGTAAAGTCTGAATGTTGACAACACTAATGACAGCAGTCAAGATAGTCTATATGCCATCAAGCAGAGGAAAACTCCAGAACCCAATTCCTTTTTTCATGAGTTAACCACTTCTCATGCAAACACAAAGCAATTATCAGGGCTGTTTTTCAGTTCCCTAGGCATTTATTGCAATACAGATGGCTAGGAGTGCTGTGCACCAGGTACACGGGGCAGAAGCACTCCAAATTCATGTTGATTCCTTGGAGATTAACAATCCAAAAACCTAATAGCTGCACAGACATGTGCTTGAGTGCACATAGTTAATATGAAATACAAATTTCTTCTAGGCTTTTTGGTTACTTTGTGCCCCCAAGTAATAGACACCTAGAGAATATGCTGGAAAACAACCTTGAAAATTGCATTGTGTTTGAGTGAGAATTGATTAACTGATAAAACCAGGAGTTGCGATCTGGGATCTTCCCCTGCTTGGTGTCTCTTTGTGAATTTAGTGAACACAAGAGGGTATCCTACAGCAGTGGTCTCCAACCTTGGGCCTCCAGATGTTCTTGGACTTCAACTCCCAGAAATCCTGGCCAGCAGAGATGGTGGTGAAGGTTTCTGGGAGTTGTAGTCCAAGAACATCTGGAGGCCCAAGGTTGGAGACCACTGCTGTAGACCATCTTAGCTGCAGACACTGGTGTCATCCACATGCAGGCTGTACTTTGCTATGTAAAGTTTGGCATCCTTTTTCCTGCTGGCAACGCAGGCCATTTCCTCGTGTTTTGAACTGTGGATAGTGGAACACAGTGTCTCACACTCATCAACCAGAGGGTTTTAAAAAATTGAATTTCCTGGCTTTTGAAAACAGAAGTTTAAGCATCATATGCTACATATAAATTCCAACAGTAACTTCCATCATGTAGAATTACTCAGTGCTTAAAGGATACCAGAATATGAGCTCATGATCTGTATTATGGTTGCTTGGAAGGAGGCAGAACAAATAACAGCTGGGATATTGCTGCAGTCCCTCTTTGCCAAACTATAATTGCTTTTTAGAATGTTGATTCATTCCGCTACAGAATATCAGAGGTGCAACTCTCGTGCACCTCTAAATGATATGATGTCCATAAATTTCAACTTACAGTGACTTCTTCCAGAATCTTCTAGGTACAAAGCACCCAGAAGTGGCTTACCATTCCCTTCTTTCTAAGGGTCCTGTGAGACTGTGCAGGTTGCCCAAGACCATACAGGCTGGCTCTTCTCCTACAAAGTACAGTGGGGAATTGAACTCCCAGTGTCTGGCTCCAGGTGCTCCAGCTCACTGAGCTATCCAGCCAGCCCATTCACTCTTAAGTACAATTTCTATAAAAATGTCTCATAGACATTTACAGATACTATTGTAAATCATTTTGAGCATCGTTCACTATGAAAAAGTAAGAAAAAATATGATTTTGAGAGTAGGTTAACTAACATACAGGCTTTAGGAACACTCTGGATCACTTTTTGGTTGAGGTAAATATTAAACAAAGATCATACCTTGATTTCTTTTAGATATTCCTAGACTCATCATCTATAATGTGAAATTTTATTGTTGTGGCTGTTTTAAATATTTTAGTTTGTTTTTAATTAGTTATGTTTTATTCTACATTTTTACTACATGAAACACCTTGAGGAAGCTTCAAAGGATATATTTGAAACAGATGAATAATAAATTAATATAGCTGTTTTTGGTGAATCATAACCATCTGCTGTGGGATGAATCATAATCATTTGAAACCATCAGCCAATTTGTTTTTGGCTCTTTAAAACTGACATTCCTATATGTTATTATTTTATTTAACCCTGAATACAGTTTGCTAACTCTTATACTTTTTCTCTAGAGATGTGAATATTAAAAATGTTTCTGCTCCCCTATGAAATCTCATTTTATAAAGATACAAACCTATACATGCTTTCCTAACAATAAGCCTTATTGGGAATTATTTCTCGACATGAACAGAATTGAACTGTAAGTGTTTGAGGAACACAAATATCACCAACAGGAAGCACATCCTTTGTTTCAAAGTAGGTTACACAGACAACCGTAAAAGTAGTTATCCAGCTTCCTAGGCAGATCCTTGGAAGGACAAGACCTGGGGCTTGTCTCCAGTGCTCATGTATTTTGAAGTGAATTTATATGTTGCTTCAGCCAACGGTCTCAAGCAATTATTCTTTACAAATTACTTTCCTCACTTAGGCTACTCATTCTTACATACACAAGAACTAATATACCACGAGCTATAAGGTATGGACCAAAATACCTGTAATTTAGCTCCCAACAACCCCCAAAATAGGTAATCCTCAAAGTGCTACTAAAAAAAAAGGAAACTTTAATGAAATGTAAATGTACCAACACATTTTAATGGGAACTTTCCTCAGGGAAAAAATTATTCAGTATTTCAATGTATCTCCTACAGAAGAATGCAATTTTTTCACAATGACATATGGACTGCTACCCTGATTTTTACATGCATCACCTCTTGGAAGGTCTATTTGTTTTCAATGGAAACTACCTCCAAGTACCAATTTCTTAGTAAAAAAGACTCCTCTGACACTTAAAAAATGAACACCTTTATTATAGCATGAAGTTTCATGGACTCACACTATTTAAAAAATCATAACAGCATGAGCTCTGAAAGGTCTTGCTATAAAAATGTATTGATCTTTAGGATATCACAGCTTTTTTTGCCTCCAAGGTAAGTATTCTTATGCTTACCATCCAAATGTGTAATACACATTTATTTAAGATTAATGGCCACAAAACCCAGTGAGTCTTATTTCAAGCAAACATGCCTAAGATCAGAGCACTTGAAATTAAATAAGAAATAAAAAGTGAAAAATATATTGAATATTTCTAGGTTTCAAAGAACCAATGCAATGACTGTGGTGTGTGATCTGCATGATTTGCATCCAAGCCTATGTTCTCCTACTTACGGTACTTGTCTGCAGGCTTGATATTCAGAAATAAAATACCATTAAATAAAATAAAAGCTTTGGCTGGTCAGATATAGCACAGAGGAGTTGAGTTGCTCATCCCTGATTCAAAGCCTTCTACAAAGAGATATAAATATTCCAAAATTATTGATCTATGTGTAAGAGATGAGTTAATCAATTCCTTGTATTTTGCCCCTAACTGTGAATCTAACTTGTGTCCATTTCAATAATTTACTACTTAGCAATGCTGTCAACTATTTAAAATTTCTATCTTGCAAATCCACATGAAAGTAGGTCACTGAAAGTGGGCTTACACACATATGACACCATATACACATCAGAGGATTAAAATATAAAAAGTGGGAGATGAAAAAACTGACCTGCTTCTTTGCGTGTTTGTTTAGCAGGGCTAAAAATAAGATGTAACATCTGGAGCAGTCTGCCAAAGCTGTACAGCAGTCATTGAAGGAAGAAAGCTTGCTATATGTTTAAAAATAATAAGATAATATGAGTAGGATAACATTTCTTGTTCCCTAATTCAACCAAGTGTACATGTCTATTTTTAAATGTTTTCTTCATTGGGAACGTACTATAAGCCCAATATCCAGCTTTGATGCTGATCAATAGAAGTTAAGCAATAGCTGAAATGCAGTAGTACACTGCAAAAGACCCATTAAAATCCTTATCAAAGGGAGGATTTGATGAGTCAACATCTATGTACATTCCACTGATTCAGTGGGATTACTCTAGATGTGATGTAGTGCTAGATTTCAGTCATTAGGTTAAAAAATGACTTTGAGCTATAGCAAATGAATAGCGAACTACAGTATGGAGTAACAGTAGATGAAAATAAAACATGGGTTATCTCCTAACATATTGGAAGAAGACAAGATTTTGTCTCCTGAGAGCCCAACTACAGTGCTAACATTATGGTCGTTTACAGAAAAAAAGCAGAATCTGCACAGGGGGGAGGAGGGAGAGAGTGAATATCAAACTGGAAATGAGATCCCAGGCAATATTAAATAAGAGCACACTCAACTGACAGTTTTTAAGGGCTAAATTGTGGGAGGAAAGGGAATCAAGAACAAGGGCTGAAGGCATGAGGAAGCTTCTGCAAAGAAATAAGTTACACAAGTCTTACTGAGGCATTACAAAGTATGCAGAACACTCATGCATATAAGAGGGTGCTCTAGATCCTTCTCTCTCTATCCCCAATTTTGTCACCCTCTTACAAGGAGAGGGCAATGACACTCATCTCTCTGTGGGGGCTCTCCAGATGAGTTGGGACCTTGATTTTCATAATGCATCAGAAGAGCTCCTATAAATAGTGGAGTTTGACCCCACTTCGCATTTGTTGCCTTCCATGTGTAGATGCCCCTTCACGGACTGCTGCCTTGTCGTGGCGAAGGGGCTTGAGTAATTTGGAGAAGCTATGGGCTATGCCGTGCAGGGACACCCAAGACGGACAGGTCATAGTGGAGAGTTCTGACTAAACGCGATTCAACTGGAGCAGGAACTGGCAAGCCACTCCAGTATCGTTGCCAATAAAACTCCATAGACAGAAACAAAAGGCTGGAAGATGAGCCCCTCAGGTCAGAAGGCTTCCAACATGCTACTGAGGAAGAGCAGAGGACAAGTACAAATAGCTCCAGAGGTAATTAAAGCAAAAAAGCAAAGTGTGCTGCTTATATACTGCCCCATAGTGCTTCAAACACTCTCTGGGCGGTTTACAAGTTAATTATGCAGGCTACACATTGCCACCCCCAGCAAGCTGGGTACTCATTTTACCGACCTTGGAAGGATAGAAGGCTGAGTCAACCTTGAGCGGGGTATCCTGGGATTGAACCCCAGGTCGTGAACACAGTTTTGGCTGCAGTACAGCGATTTAACTACTGTGCCATGAGGCTCATTAATGAAGCGGTTGGGCCAAAGCCAAAAGGACGCTCAGCTGTGGACGTGCCTGGAAGTGAAAGGAAAGTCCGATGCTGTAAAGAAATATACTGCACAGGAAACTGGAATGGAAGATCTATGAACTTTGGTAAGCTGGATGTGGTCAAACAGGAGATCGCAAGAATAAACATTGACATCCTGGGCGTCAGTGAACTAAAATGGACGGGAATGGGTGAATTGAATTCAGACAATTATCATATCTACTACTGTGGGCACAAATCCCGTAAAAGAAATGAAGTAGCCCTCATAGTCAACAAAAGAGTGGGAAAAGCTGTACTGTACTGAGATAT